ACCAAGACTACGACCAAGACCAAGACTAAAACCATGACCGAACCAACAAGACCAAAGCTAAACCAACACCAAATATCCCAGTAAATGTTCCTTGGTCCTAATACACACCAGGGGAGAAAATAATTATGCAATTTGAGATATTCTTTACTTTTCCCTTCTAGGTGCTTAATATATTAATATTATCACGTGTTTTGAGTTATGTGAGATTATATACTTGTGGTTTCACATTTTCATATTTACAGAACTTTAGTAACACTCAACTTAAAATCTACAACGATGTGATCCACCCTTTGCCCATGCAGAAACAAGCTGCCTACATTCTTGAATCTAATTCTTGTTAGACATTAGATTTATTAAAAGAATTCTAACATAACAAACAGTTGCCCAATTTTATTACGAAGCTTTTACTGTTCAAATTTAGTTCTACTTAATATCAGCCAAATCTTCCATATCTAAGTCTTGCAAAATGATGATACTAAATTGAATTGACGTCTACATGAATGTCCTCCGAGTAAATGTTCTTTGTTCCTATGTTTTTACTTCCATCAAATACACCTTATACTGTTTTGTTCGCTAAAGGGTCAATTTATGCGTTAGAGAAAAGGTTAATTTATACAATGGAAGAAGGGAAAGTAAGTCGATTTTTTAAAACTCTAACAACTATCGACACTATCATAACAAGTTTGCATGTTTGATAGAAAGTTTCAATATTTAAGACAATTATTGTATCGATAAATAGAAAAAAATGTGCTTGGAAGGGACTATATCATCAAAAGCAAGACCAATATCTACATTGGGATAGTTTCATCGTTAAATATGTACTTCTTTTTTTAGTCTTCAACAGCTCAATTCAAATGTCGTCATGCTGTAGTGCAAATCAAGCATGACAAGACAATTTCTTTCAGAAATCAAAGATTTCTAGAATATATGTCTACTATTCGGGTTTGCGTCAACTAATCTTCGTTGAAGAGGTCTGAGACTTAATTTCTAATTCAGTAGTTATTTCAGAAATTTGATTCTTGGCCTTGACATCTTCGGATCTCTTTGAGAAATCTTTTTAATTCTCGTATACATCAAAAATCTGTAGTTTTACTGGATTGTCCTACGTTTTCCACATACGCTCTGTCAAATTGTCTTAGACACCCTGTTTCTGTAAGAAAAACTGCCTGAAAATGGCAATAATGATCTTAAAAAAAAAGCGTTTACCACCGTTTTCCCAATTTTATACAAAAAACAAACAATCAAGCCTAATTAACCCATAAACACTTTTTTTAAACTTACTATTGCATAAATTATTAGATATACGTACTAGCTTTATTATTGATGTTCAAAAGCAGTCTACTATTTTAGCCTGCAATGACGGAATGGTAATACTACCCTTTAGACCAAAAGGTTTTTAATTTTCGCTATGATAGTTTGAATTTGTTGTTGTCAACTTTTTTTTATGAATATATATTTAGGATTATGAGTTTACGACAGAAAAAAGTCGTAACCATGTCCTTCCTTCTATTTGATAATCAGCATATTAGTTGAGTGTGTTTTACATCACAATCTACTATTGAACATAAGTCTACCACAAAAGGTTTCATGTCTGGTTATGTGAGACCACTTACACGGAGACAACTAAATTTTAATGACAACGCAAAAATTACAATTTTCGATTGTAAATGACTGAATTTGCCGTGGAAATAGTAGAATTTATCAGGTAACTTGTAATAATCTCAATTTTAACATGCTTCTTTAAAAATTATTTCAAGTCTCTTAATTATTACAATTAAATTTGTAATATCAACTAAAATACCTAGTATATTTATTTCTGCTGGAATTCAATTTTACATATTCAGGTCCAAATTGTAATTTTTATTATTTTCGCTTACGCTGCAACTAGCCCGTTGGGCTAAATTGTAAATATCGCTTTAATATTTAGGTAAATTTTGGTTTTTCATTTTCTGCGTGTATTAGGTTCCTATTTATACAAACCGTGTTTGCTGCCAATATTAATGGAAGTAGAAATAAAAATACCTATATTCATGAAAACTTCTTCTTTCTTGTGGATTTACTCATACAAGAAAATTGATTATACATTGATTTCGAGGCAGAATGGTACTCTGTCCTGAAATGGCCGATTTTACCATTAAATAAGTTAAGGAGACTATAAACAATAAACTAAAAGAGACTCCTACCTAATTTCCACAAAAAGGTTTTGATAAAAAAAAACGCGAAATTATCCCGCCTATACTCAAAGTGTGCGAAACACGTATCCGATTTTCAAAAGGCTTTTTTGGTAATTGAAAGTGAGTTAGGTACTTTCAGTTTAAGAATAACGAGATGTTTCTAGCTTGTTAAACATTTTTCATTAAATATCGTGATATATATTTAAAAGAAATTGTGTTATAATTTAGATATATATGTGTATGCCCATGGGCTGTTTTTTCAAGAAGAAATGGAGTTGGGCAATTTTTCCTTTGTTCTTGAGAACTTTCAATTAAATGTAATTAATGTAGGAGTGGAGTGGTTATTATATCACAAGGCGACTTTTAAATTTCTTCGTTTATGGAAGAAATTATGCACAAAAAATTAAGTGGCTGAAATTTGGCACTTGCAGATAAATTACTTCTTTAGCATGCTCTTACCGAAGGAACGACACTTTTTCCTGAGCAAGAACGAACAAGACCAAGACTACGACCAGGACCAAGACTACGGCCAAGATCAATACCAAGATTACGACCAAGACCAAGACTACGACCAAGATCAATGCTACGACCAAGACCAAGACTACGACCAAGACCAATGCTACGACCAAGACCAAGACTACAACCAAGACCAATGCTACGACCAGGACCAAGACTACGACCAAGACCAAGACTAAAACCATGACCGAACCAACAAGACCAAAGCTAAACCAACACCAAATATCCCAGTAAATGTTCCTTGGTCCTAATACACACCAGGGGAGAAAATAATTATGCAATTTGAGATATTCTTTACTTTTCCCTTCTAGGTGTTTAATATATTAATATTATCACGTGTTTTGAGTTATGTGAGATTATATACTTGTGGTTTCACATTTTCATATTTACAGAACTTTAGTAACACTCAACTTAAAATCTACAACGATGTGATCCACCCTTTGCCCATGCAGAAACAAGCTGCCTACATTCTTGAATCTAATTCTTGTTAGACATTAGATTTATTAAAAGAATTCTAACATAACAAACAGTTGCCCAATTTTATTACGAAGCTTTTACTGTTCAAATTTAGTTCTACTTAATATCAGCCAAATCTTCCATATCTAAGTCTTGCAAAATGATGATACTAAATTGAATTGACGTCTACATGAATGTCCTCCGAGTAAATGTTCTTTGTTCCTATGTTTTTACTTCCATCAAATACACCTTATACTGTTTTGTTCGCTAAAGGGTCAATTTATGCGTTAGAGAAAAGGTTAATTTATACAATGGAAGAAGGGAAAGTAAGTCGATTTTTTAAAACTCTAACAACTATCGACACTATCATAACAAGTTTGCATGTTTGATAGAAAGTTTCAATATTTAAGACAATTATTGTATCGATAAATAGAAAAAATTGTGCTTGGAAGGGACTATATCATCAAAAGCAAGACCAATATCTACATTGGGATAGTTTCATCGTTAAATATGTACTTCTTTTTTTAGTCTTCAACAGCTCAATTCAAATGTCGTCATGCTGTAGTGCAAATCAAGCATGACAAGACAATTTCTTTCAGAAATCAAAGATTTCTAGAATATATGTCTACTATTCGGGTTTGCGTCAACTAATCTTCGTTGAAGAGGTCTGAGACTTAATTTCTAATTCAGTAGTTATTTCAGAAATTTGATTCTTGGCCTTGACATCTTCGGATCTCTTTGAGAAATCTTTTTAATTCTCGTATACATCAAAAATCTGTAGTTTTACTGGATTGTCCTACGTTTTCCACATACGCTCTGTCAAATTGTCTTAGACACCCTGTTTCTGTAAGAAAAACTGCCTGAAAATGGCAATAATGATCTTAAAAAAAAAGCGTTTACCACCGTTTTCCCAATTTTATACAAAAAACAAA